CTGAAAAAAGTGAAATAAGTGAGCCTGGTCTAGAGGTCTAGAGCAATGCAGTACATCTCGAACCACAGAATATGGTTGATTTGCTCTGAGCAGAAAACTACACAAAGCACAGGCTGGGTTAATATTTACCGCATGTGAGAAGAGTGAACACCCCAAGTTCTCCTTGTGCACTCAGAGATGGCAGAGAAGTGGTCACTCGGCACGGATAGGAGGTGGCCAAGAAGCGAAGGGGAAGTTGGGTGTCCTAGAAACTGTCACCGCCTGGGATCTCCAAACAGCCAATGTCATTCTGTGCTCACCAGTGTCACGGCCTTGACTCACTTTAATCACAGACATTCAGTGTCTTTGAGGCACTGCCCACCAAGCTCAGGGAAGCTGCTGGTCAGGAGATTTCCCAGAGATGGTGCTGCAGGGAGCCCCCCTAGCACAGTCGGACTGGAGGACCAACACTCCTCTGGGCCTCTTGTTTCCGCACTCAGGGCCAAAAGCTCTTCTCCGCAGAGCTTGTCATCCAGTTGAGGCTAGAACGGCCCAGCTTGGCACGTGGGGGGGCAGACGGGGGTGGCTCAGAACCACACTACTGAAGACGCCCGCAGGCCTGCTCTGGAGGAACGAAGGAGCCAGGGAGACAGGACAAGTTACCCACTGTTTCCTGCACCCCACCGCCCTCTCTGCCTCTTCCCCCTCCTTCCCAGAGCGGCTGTGTCCAGTGCTGAGACGCAGGCGCTGAGTTGGGCCCTGTGCTGCCTGCCCCAGCGGGCTGCTTCCTGGGGGCAGGCAGTGGCTGTGCAAAGCAAGTGTGAGGGTTCCTGGGACCACAGCGTGGGAGCCGCGTGCGGTGGGAGGGGGTCGCGGGAGGGTTCTTGCGACTGAAGCTCCGGGAGCTGAGTCTGGGAGGACAGATGCAGCCGGCAGGATGAGAGCAGTGGGCAGAGGGAGCTGCCCAGGGAGGAGCGGTGGCCGTGGCTGCATGCCTGGCTCAGCACGAAGCGCCGGCGGCTGGCTGTAGTTCACGCGTCTGGGTCCAGGGCTCAGCTTCGTCACGACCCTGTCCTCTGCCGCTCAGGCCATCCGTTTACAGTGGCCTTCTCCCCACGTTCTTGGTCCTGGACTGAGGGCCGCACTTCCTAGCCTTACCCTGGGGGGCTGGTGCATTGCCCCTCAGCGAACATGACCCATCTGTTCCGAGCGGCTGTGCCTCTCAGCGAGGGGGCAGACAGGACAGCAGGGGCCGTGCAGAGTCCCAGCGCAGTCCATGCGTGTCAGTCCAGGGCAGAGCGGAGCTGCCGGTGGAGGGGAACCCAGCCGGGGCTCCGCAGGCTCTGAGGTGGTGCCCGTAGTTTCCATCTCCCTGTCTCTCGCCCCTGCCTCATCTCCCATACAGCATCAGGGTGGTCCGTGAGACCAACGGTACAAAGCAGAAGTGACGCTCTGCGCCTTTGAGGCCAGCTCAAAAACATGACCGTGTTTGTGCCTTGGGCTGCTCGCTCCGGAAGAAGCCAGCTGCCAGCCTTGAAGGACGCGCATGGAGGCTCTGGGAGGCTCGCGAGCAGCCGCGGGAGGAGTCACTGCAGGGCGACCCCCTGCCAGCTGCCCTGCTCAGCGTCTTGACCAGGACCCCAGAACCACTCAGCTTAGCTGCTTCCAAATTCTTGCCTCCCAGATACTGTTAGTGGTGATAAACGTTGTTGTTTTTGTTTGTTCAAGCTGCTAACTTGGAGGGTGATTTGTTACACAGGATGGGGCCATTTACCCAACGCCCTTGGCCGCTTTGAGCGCCGTCCTTGTCCGAACGCTAGGCAGGCTTCCAGGCAGGGGGCTTTGCTGCCTCTGCCAGACAGGAAATATTAGGGTTCCTGAAAGATCACAGCCACTCCCTCCTACTTCCTCCCTTCACGCCTCAGCTGCTTCCCTTTATGGGACCAAAGTTCCAACAGCAGATGGGGAAAGAAACCTTACGGGGCTTCTCTTATCTGCCTGAAGCAAAGTTTCTCTGCACTCCTCCTCCCTGCCCAGAGGTCTCCAGTCTTGGGGACACTCCCGAAAGTCATACAAACAAGTCCCCCCGAAACCCTCTGCCCTTTGAAACCTACTCTTCCCCCCTTTGTAAGGCTGGCATGGAAACCTTTACCCGTGGCTGAGCAGGAAGAGACCTGTCTGTTCTCATATTAATCTTACTAGTTAATTCACAGACCCTCTACTCAGACCTAAATTGGGAGAAGGGAAGGTTTTCCTCCAAACACTTTCCAATGAAAGAAATCTGTGGAGAGGGTGGGGAAAGTTCTAGAGCCCTTTGCACGAGGCTTCTCCCTGGTCCCGCGAGCTTTCCCTGAGAGCAAGTTCTGCACGTGCGAGGCCCAGGGGTCCACTGTCCCCTCTGCACCAAGCAATCCATAGAGACCTCAGGGCACAGGCCCAGCCTCTCTCATGCAGAGGGCTGTGTCTCCTGCCGGTTGCAGCTGGCTTTGGGGTTTTCACAGCGTTTGCTGTGGGTCAGGCTCTGTTCGAAGTCCTTCGCCAGTATGAAAACATTTAATTCTCAAAACAGCAATGGAGATGTTACTATTATCTTCATTTTTCCAGATAAAGATTCTGGGGCACAGGGAGGCTGAGCAATTTGCTCAAAGTCACGCAATGAGTGAGTGGCAGAATGGTCCCGGTTCCATGCTTTTACCCAAGGTGAGACCTGGTGCAGGGTTTGTGCCGTGAGGGTTCTGTGCCACCGGGAGCGCCCTTGGCGGGGCTTCCTGGGGCTGGGCAGGGTTTTGTATTTTGGCTCTGGCTGTGAGAAATCCAGAGGTCCACATCCAAGCAGAGCCTTGCTTTCTGAGGAAGCCGTGCTGCATCTTTACTCGGGCCACCCACAGCAGCCCTCTTCCAAGGCCATCCTCTGCACTCCACCCCAGAGCAGGCCCATCCCCTGCCAGCCCTTCCATTTTCCACCCCTGCTGGCATGTCCCCGTGTCCCCATCTTCCTCGACCAGAGCTGCTCAACCCAGGGCAAACTTGCAGCCCAGGCAACATTTGGCAATGTCTGCAGACATTACCGGCGTCCCTACTAAAAGGCCGCTCTAGTGTCCAGTGAGTAGAGGCCAGAGACGATGGCAAACATTCTCAGGTGCTCAGAACAAGGCCTCATGATGAAGAATGATCTGGTCCAAGGTGTCAACAGCGCCAAGGAGCGAAACGGAGCTGGGTCCACCCACAGCACGCAACTGTGGTGCAGTTCTGGCATCTGTGGAATCACACACCTCCTACTCTCACCTCAGCCCTTCTCACAAGGACTCTGTCTATACACCAGCCCCACTTGTTGGGAGTAAGACAAGGCCTTGGAGGTAATGACAGATACAGCTGACATTATTCTGTAACAGGTTCTGTCTATCTTCTTAGTCTCATAAACCAGGCTTTGATGATCATCCCTGCTTCACAGATTGGAAAACTGAGGCTTATAAAATTCAAGTCATTTGAAAAAGTGGGGATTAAAACATCAAGTAATTTGTCCAAGGTCACACAGTTAGTAACATCCGAGCTTCTAGCCTTCCCAGGCACAGATTCATCGATTGATTTTGGTTTTTTTGGTTTTGGGTTTAGGGACTTGCCAGGCAGCCCACGCTGGCCTTAACTCCTAGCGATCCTCCTGCCTCAGCCTCCTAGCGATCCTCCTGCCTCAGCCTCCCGAGTGTTGGAGTTACAGATGTGTGCCACCATACTTGGCTAACTGATATATTTACAGAGAGGCAAAGTAAAGACAGCAAGTTCCTAGGGAGATCTAGCCCGGTGTCTACCCTGGGCTTGTGTGTGCCCTTCCCTGGGATACAGGGGTCAGAACCCCTCATTCCGTAGCACAGTTACAGCCCAGGCTGTCAGAGGCAGCAGAGAACAGCTTGAGCTGCCTTTTTCTCAGAAAGAAGGGAGGCAGTGGGGCAGAGGGAAGAGGGTCAGTTTTATACAGGGACAGTTGGGACCCGGAGGACAGGGCAGGGAAGGGAAGGACAGGAACGGAGGCCTGGCAGCTTTTTATTATTTATTACAGCTGAGGGAAGAATGGGAGATTTGTTTCTAAACCTCCTTGACTCCTGTGTATATCAGAGATAAATGAATTACTTTTAGGCCTCAGAAATTAATGATTGTTCTAATTCTCACCCCAAGTGACCTTCCAGCCTTAGTAGTTCTCACCATTCCCTGTAAAGTAGCTTCTGTCAGGGTTTGCCTAGGTCTGAGGAGAGGGCAGGCCTGACCTGAGTACTTGGAATTCCTGTGGCCATCATTCATTCTTTTTTTTTTTTTTTTTTTTTTTTGAGACAGGGTCTCAAGGAGACACATTTCCTTTATATTCACTACG